GTGGACTTTTCCAAGTTGAAACAGCTGGTACATTTAGATCTCAGGTAATCCTTAACTTAATTTATGTCCTTTTAAGGCTCCGATTAAAAGATTTTATTCTGCTAATTCAGTGGTTCAGAGCTGTTTTTGCCACATCCTCTCAACATTTTACTGCTTTAGCTAGAGTGCTATTTTTAAGATGGCACAGAGGGGAAAAACTACAGTAATTATATAGTGGATGGAAATTTAGCAAAAAAAATTCTCTAAAATTTCTTATTTGAGATATTTTGTGCACTGATAAATGTCACTTAAAAGCAGCATAATGACTTAACTAAGAACTCTGAGGTCACTTAAAAGTGATATATTACCAGAATTTACCATAATGAAGTACACTGAACTAATGCTTTTTTTTTTATAGAAACAATCTACTGATCTCAAAGAAGATGGAAGGCTTAACCAAGATGAGAAGTGTTATTTTGTCTTTTAATAGGTAGTTTTTCCCATTATCACTCTCACCCCACCATGTTAAATGAGTAAATATATTAAACGAGTTTGACTAAATATCACACTTTTAGTGTGTTTTTTTTTGTGGTCTGAATAGTAATTTACATTTCTCTTTAGGTTCAAGTCATTCCCAGGAGTGCTGTACCTCATCTCATCCCTTGAGACCATTTTAATCAGTAACAATCAAGTTGGAGGCATTGATCCAGTCCAAATGAAGACCCTAAATAGGCTGTCTACTCTGGATCTGTCCAATAATGATATAATGCAAGTGCCACCAGAACTTGGCAACTGTACCAGTCTGAAGTAAGCGTGATGTTTCCTTCTGATTCTAGCAAACTGTGGACTCCATATTTTACATGAAAATGAGGCAACGAGAACAAATGTGCAGGCTGTTCAACTGAAAATCTGTCTTTCCAAGTGGAAAAAACTTTGAAAAACTGGGCCCGTTTTCTTAAAGATTCTAAGAATCCCCTCAGAGAGCTCCTAATTTAGCTTAAACATTTCTACGTACGAGTCTTAGCTTAAGAGCAATTCAGGACCAATCTGAGAGCAACTCTAAGCGAGGAAAAGACAAAAATTTTCATGGTAGTGAGGAGGGGCTGACCCCGTTGCTACCTATGACACAGTCTTTTGAAGACTGTGATTGGCTGGTTGTTCAAGAGGGGGAAAAAAAGAGAGTGCTTTAGGGTTTATTATAAGCCTTCACTTTGAAATTACAGGGGCTGACCCCTATGACACAGTCTTTTGAAGACTGTGATTGGCTGGTTGTTCAAGAGGGGGAAAAAAAGGAAAAAAAGAAGGGTTTATTATAAGCCTTCACTTTGAAATTACAGGCATAATTATTCCTATTTTACTCTCTCTCACACACACACACACACACACATTATATACAGTATATATATATATATATATATATAT